GAGGGCTGGGAGCGCCTGGCGCGGGATTTCGCTGACGTTCTGGAAGTTTTGGCGGCCAGGGCTGGGGTATTTCGACCGCCAGATGCGGGGGCTGCGGGCGAAATGAGAACGACGGAGGGCAAGCGGTGAGTGGCGCGCGGCGCAGGTACGACGGCGAGCGATGTGCTGATGCATGTCGTCCAGTGTGCCCAAAGCGACGGTGAAACGCGAGTACGCGAACATGATCAAGCGGGGTAAGGGAGGTCGTCGTGGGTAACACGGAAGCTGTATATATTCACCGACTGAACTTTCTGATCAACGTGTCTTTCTGATCAACCTGAATTTCTGATCAACCTGAATTCTGACCGACTTGAATTTCTAACCGACTTGAATTTCTGACCGACTTGAATTTCTGACCGACTTGACTTTCTGGTCGAGTCGATCAGATGAACGAGTTGATTAGATGAGCGAGTCGCGGCTTGGCTGCGTGAGCGGCGTATACCATCACGAACAGTACTGATCACAGCTTTATCGTGGCGGCAGTACTCATCAATTACGTTCAAGGATGTAGAAGTATGCCTATGGCATGAGTGTGGCAGCAGAGAGGCTGCCAATAGGTTGGTACTAGTGCTTGAGGTGGTAGAGAAAGAGTGCTACCTATTGCAGTACACATATACTTATTTAAAGCAAGTCTAGTCTAGCGGTCTAGCGCGTGCGGGGGTTACTATTGCACGAGGTTGTTGGTTCAACCCTCGTGCTGAGCAACTTTTGCCGGGCAGCCTCGGGCCGGGCCTAGTCGTTCAGAAATTCGACTTAAATGTTGAATTGTTGATCGAGTCGTTCAACTGGTCAGGTACGTGAACTCACGACCTGTTCAGTTGTTCGACGTCGTCTACGGCTGGTTTAACCACCCCAATTCTCATATATATACCCCGCTTCTTCTTTCGCTCTTTCAGGCCAGCATCCCACCCACGACACAGAAGCGATGATAACCATCTTATCGGCCATGGAAAGCAACCCTGGGCCAATCGTCAGTCCATTCTTCGTCTCCTCCATATCCTTGCCGGCCACAACTATGAATCACCAGGTGTCCTTCTACATGCAAGATCACACGGCGACCTTTGCCAGACAGATGTTTGGCAGCGCAGGTGCCGCCGCACTCTGGAGCCGCATCCTTCGGGAGGACATTGTCAACCACAGAGTGCAAGCATTGGTCAGAGTCACCCGTCCTCACGAGATCGCCCACAGTAGCGTCAAGATACGCATCGACGGATGCCCTCCTCCGCCTTGCGCCACACAAGACGGGTATGCCTGGATCATGGACTACGCCTGCGACTGTATCGGAAACCAAGCCGAGCGCATCGTGCGGCAAAAGCTCTACATTATTTTCGCGCACGGTAACAAACCAACCGGTGAAAATCACGCAATGTACAAGGGGTTACCCGCCCCTTTCTTCTTCTTGCGCAAAGGAGATCCGTACGGTTGGACTGTCGGGATATCGCTACAAGACGTCTATGATGGCAAGGCTCTTACCGTCTTGGCCGATTTGGAGAAACCATATGCGCAGGGAGTATTTCTGGACGGCGATGGTCGTAACGCGACGGCGATCTTTCCGGTGTGTGAAAGCCTTTTGCTTCGAGTGGCCAAGGCCGTGAACACTGACCAGGAATAATCGTGACATGTAGTGGAAGGGCCAATGGCACGAGTTTCAGTTCAGGTCGAGGGGCTCTCAGAGGGACCCGACAAGACCGCTGACTAACAGCGAGTTTGTGAGGCACGCAGCTCACGCGATAGAATCCATCTGGGAGGTGAGTATGCATCTATTTCTTACAGGCCTTTGATTCCGCCTGCTGATTCGCTGCGACTTGGCTCAATAGAAGCTCGGTATCCCGATCTCCCCGTCTGCTCGCGCCAGTGTGAAGTTGATTGGCGTCGTCTACGTGTCTAAGAAACGGTGAGTCTGAGTGCGCAGAAAAGTGGTACTCGCTTGATGAGACTGACCCAATGTCTACCAGGTTTCAGCTTATATTGGAAGCTCCTCTTACGGAGGAGATGCACAAACACAGTTCGTGGTGAGACTAGATCTATACGATGTACATCTATACTATTCTGTACATCATCTCGAGACCTGTATCCAGATTCCGCACTTCATGACAGATAACACATGAACTTGTGCTGATAAGCCCTTTCGGTTCTGAGAGTGTATCCGCACGCGTGGCCGACCACATCGGCCCGTACTTCCGTGCCAGTGCTCCCTCTCTTATTCAATGCGCGTACGCCTCACAACAGTTGTACTCATAATGATAAGAAGAACTTGTGCCGCTACACCCATGTCTACCCATCATCGACGCTGACCATCGCACTCGCAACTGACGGTGTGCCTAGTACCGGCTTCGCGATCGATGTCAGCCTTCCAATAAGTAACGTAGCGTTGCACGGCTGTCTAGGGAGGACGAGTGATGTCGTACAAAACGGCTGTTGCATCGAACATCGGCAATGAAGAGAGGTAATTAGGATATAGAGAGCACACACATTCGGCATACGCCTGCTCCTCCGCGAGTCGCTCATCAGTGCCCCGGCAGTAAAGGAATACAAAAGCTCAGAACACTCTTGCACCGTGCAGATCCCAAGCGCCCGCGAACCCATCCATCGGCGCTCAAAGACATCACAAGCTCATATCGGACAAGACACTCCCCGCGAAAGCTGTCCGACTGCACAACCGACGCCTATTGGGATGCCACGCATATGTGCTCGGACCGTATAGACGCAGAGGGCGCCCCAGACACGCATCGCGGGTAGATCTGACATTGTACGAGTGCATCGTTTTCTTCATGAGTGTCCAAGGGCTCGTGTAGTCTTCAGTATCCTAGTCTATCCGACGCCTCGATCTAGGATTAGGACGACCTGACTGTACGACGCTGTAAGCCCAACGTTCCGTGTGCCACATTGCGACAGCGTCCGTACCATCGATACGACGACAATCCGCCTGAGCAGAGGGTGCGGGCACTGGTGACGCCCCCATAACCTCTTTCGAAGCCCATCCTGAGGTCTTATGCATCTCGTATACTCCCATCCATCCCTCCCTCCATCCTCCACACCCATAGGATCATAGGACGACCCCATCGCCATTGCCATCCCGATCTCTCATCGGTCTGCCACTGGCAGTGAAGTACTCAACCGCGATGCAACACCGACCATTCCACCCGAGTGAGTTGGATCATGACTGAGCGACGAGGATGGCGCCTTCCTAGAGGAAGGAAACGGCCTGTATAGACGTCGCGGGGTACAGCAGACCATCTGCGCGGGCGGACTGGACGAACGCGATCGGTTTGACGCTGCATTCATGTCCGTTGCCCGTCCAGCGGCAATACTCTCAACACACCGCATCTGCATATCGACCCAGCGTCCCGTACAGCCCCGACTCCCAAATAGAAACCAAAATCTTGGGCCTGCACTTGCGCGTGAAAGCCGCACGGTAGGTGTTTAAGAGTTTGAGATCATTGGTTGGACGAGGGCTTGTAGGGTAGACGGGTGGGGAGGATATCGAGCATGGCTTAAATGTCTTTGGAGGGTAGGCGGAGGGTCGAGTGTTGTGCGTGTGCTTCTCTTTGAGGACGTCGCTGGATTGAGCGTAGTCTACTTTCAATTTGAGGCCGCCCGCGCGAGCACGCCTTCGGCGTTCTCGGGGGTTCGCCCATTGGCTCAGAAAGATGCACGTGCTTCCTAAATAAACAAACGAAATCCAAACGACGCGAAATGTCTGAATTAAGCTCTCGCTGCACTCCTCGATGTCTGCAAGGGCCCAAACGGGCCCGCAGACTGTATCGCGTACATGGACTTCAAGAGACGGTCTAAGTTATCTTAGGAGAACCCTCAACGAGCTCACCGCACCCCTTGGCTGGGATGCCGGCCCCTATGATTGGCAAATAGAAGTCGTCGCACGCATACTGGAAGGTCGAAGACAATTAGTGGTGGTACCATGTGCGGGAGGAAAGAGTGCATGCTCGTACCTTCCTGGGCTGTTGGTCCAGAACCACCGTACACACAATGTGCCACTGCCATTTCCGACCTTCGAGATCAACGACAAACTTGTGGCACTTATGGTCTCACCACTCGTGGATCTCGCACGAGGACAGGTCAGCATATTCGAGGGTATCAGCTATAGCTTCTGCTGAACTCCGAATAGGTGGAGGAGATCAAGAGGTCGGGTCTGAGTGCAGCCTCGTTTGACACCGACAGTCTGGAGGAGGCTCGCGTGAAGCAGATCCCCGTGTACGAACAAATGAAGCGCGGCGAGCTCTCTGTCGTCGTCGCGGGTCCGGAGAGGTTGACTGCGAAGACCTTCCGTACCGCACTCCGTGCCGCACGTGCCTACGTCGGGCTATACATTATCGACGAGGCTCACGTCGTGGGTCCCTGGAGTCGCGATTTCCGCGAAGACTATAACGAGGTGCCGCACGTCGTCTCCCGCCTTCGCCCGAACATCCCGGTAATTGCGATGACTGCGACGTTGAGCCGTGAGGCGGAACACCAGCTCGTTCGCAAGCTGGGGTGGGCACCAGGGACCTACGTGGTCCATCGTCAGTCGTCGGAGAAGCAAAACGCGCGTGTGGTGTATCTCACCCTCACACACAGCTTGACAGGACCCGTGTATCCGGATATCGCCTGGACGGTCTTCTCGCACCAGCCTATCATGTACCGAGCAGCGCATGGGTGAGTGGTGCTACACGGGAGTACGTCTTATCCAAGCTCTTGAGAGAGAAACTGTTGATGGCTTCCCAGCTCGCTTTAGGATCGCGAGAGCCCCCTCGCCTCGGGAGAGTACGGGGTGTTGCATCAGGATCGTCTGAAACTAGGTATAGTGAGTATAGGGAATACCTACTTGCCAGATAATGAACATACGTCGCACAGCAGGTCCTGCTGAATCGTGATCCTCGTCCTCCCCCTCAGCATCTCCTTCATCCGAAGTCCCACCGATCTCTGTGTATGCTATAAGAAACTGATACGACTACGACTGAAAGAGAGACCTGAGCATACCATCAAAGGTGCCTCGTAAACCAGATCCATCGACTGCTGCTTGGACTTCGGGATCTGCGAACCCCGTATTCTCTGCGGATGTAGCTACGATGTGTCTTAACATGCAAACCTCGTAGATATGTGTCAAGAACTTACTGGTATTGCGAACAGGTGCCGACATCGTATCAGAGGAGCCACCACCATCTGCCTTGGACTTGGATTTCACCTCAGAGCAGCGGACACGCAGACCATTGTCATCATCTTCCAGTAGAGCGAACTCATTGCCCATCTCATCTGACACGATACGAGCTGCATACGAAGTGATGGCAACAGCAGCATATCGCATCTCACTGAGAGGCTTCCCTGAAAGATTATAGTACCCGCCATCTGCCTCGAGATCTTGTATGTATTCGGGATGAGACATGGGATGGTGCATGATGAGGCGTAGGATGTCGATCGCAGGGTATCTAGAGTTGGGATTTCGTAGGAAATGTTGAACAGCCGAGATATGGTTTGGACGACGAGGACGCGCATCCTTCTTCTTCGGCATGGAGAAGATGTGATGCAAAGCTTGTCCGAGCGTCCACTTGTGTAGGCTGAGGTACTCGAACAAGCCTTGCAGGATATCTTCGTCCGGTAAGGGCTTCGTCGGGGATGCTCGCTTCTTCTTTGGTTCGCTCGCCCCTTCGGGGAATATCAGAACACATGCTTGCCCCTCTTACTGCTGGTAGCTCACCAGCTGAAACTGGCTCTCCCGGAACATTGGGCGGCATATATACTGTAGTGCGGTTGCACGATGGTGGTCAAGGTCTTTGCTCGGTTCGACGCCGCGGCGCGACGCGACGCGTCGCGCCAATTGCACTTATCAAAGAGTTATCAAATTTTCGATAACACACGACAACTCTCGCGACTCCGGTCTTATCAGACCGAGATGCCCGAAGGCGTGCTCGCGCGCGCGGCCTCAAATTTGGTGCAGACCTTATTTATAAGGGCTGCTTTAGGAGACTAGATTGAGCGTCAGATTACGGTTCGGTAGGGACGCGGGATGAGCCAGACTATTGACGCACCGAATGCCACCCGTCTTCTATCCCGCCAATATTTCATGATATTCATCTCCAGAGCGCTTGACGGGCAACTGCCATATCCAAAATGGAAGAGGGGGGGAGGATCAGACAGCCGCCCGCTACTGTAGTACCAACTGCAATCATTCCAGTCAAATCGTCTTCAAAGTACAACACCAACATTTGACCAACATCAAGATCAACATGTGTTTCCGAAGCTTTCCGAAGCGCCCGGCGTGATCGGAGCCGCTCGCACCGGGAACATCGGCCGCTTTTATTCAAGAAAAAGGCTGAATAAAGCTACAAATTTTTCCCGCGCTCCCCCGCCAGCTCTCGCTACAGCGCGTGTACTGCTTAGTAGAGCCGAGGGTTAACCTCTGAGTAGTACGCTAAGCTCATAGAGATCTATACAGAGCTGCGGGTAGATGGGAGAATTAAAATTTGTAGTTTTATCGGCGCTTTTTGTGGCGAAAAATCGGCCCGTGTTCCCCGTGTCGTCTGTTGACAACCGTCTCCCTTCTCCTGGACCCATCTCAACGCAGAAGATACGATAGACGGAGCGAAATTTTCAAACTCTGGTTGCACTGTCAGACGAAGGGCTCGACACCATGAAGCTCTTGAGCACACGTCGTTGAGTATCGACGCAACCGAACGACAGTCTTCAGTCCATCATCCCGCACTGTCGCCCGTCCCATTATTGCAGTACAACAGCACTTCCGACTTCATGCCCTGGCTGCGAGCGCAGCCCGGTGGCCGCTCGATGTTTTGCACTTGTGGTTGGTGGAGGGAGAGTGCATGGTGCATGAGGACTGCAAGGCGACAGTAGTCGAAGCGCTGGCGCGGGTCTCGGATAATCGGTGGCCTGTGGTCAGTTTCACCACAGCACGGATGTGGCTTGTAGTGCTGACTACCTCCAATGACGCTAACAATGCAAGTATTGTGCGCATGTTGTGGTTGGAATGACATGTCAGCCACGAGTCCATTGTCCAGGGACTTTGTCCCATGTTCTCCAGAATCGTTCAGTCCGTGATGTGGACGCAGAGAGGTGGTTCGCCAGCTCCGATTCCCATACATATACCCCGATTCTTTCGCTCTTCATACCTGCATCCTGTTCAGGACATAGAAGCGACAATAACCCCTTTACCGGCCATGCAAAGCAACCCGGTCGTCAGTCCATTCTTCGCCTCCTCTCTATCATCACCGGCCCACTGACAACTACAAACCACCAGGTCTCCTTCTACACGCAAGACCCCACGGCGACCTTTGCAAGACAGACGTTTGGCCGCGCAGGCGCCGCCAAACTCTGGAGCCGCATCCTTCAAGACGGTGACACCGACAACCGCAAAGTGCGAGCGTTGGTCAGAGGCACCCGTCCTCACGAGATCGCCCACAGTAGCGTCAAGATACGCATCGACGGATGCCCTCCTCCGCCTTGCGCCGCGCAAGACGGGTATGCCTGGATCATGGACTACGCCTGCGACTGTATTGGAAACCAAGCCGAGCGCATCGTGCGACAGAAACTCTTCGTCATTCACTCGGCCGCTAGCAAGCCAACCGGCGAGGATAATGCGAGATACAAGGGCATACCTGCGCCTTTCTTCTTCTTGCGCAAGGGAGACCCGTACGGTTGGACCGTCGGGATATCGCTACAAGAGCTCGACGACGGCAAGATTTCGACCGTCTTGGCCGATATGGAAAAACCATATGCGCAGGGAATGTTCATGGACAGCTGCAGTCGTGCCGCGACGGCAGTCTTCCCGGTAGGCCAGCGCCTTTCGCTTAGAGCGGTCAAGGACTGACCAGGAATGACGGTGACTTGTAGTGGAAGGGCCGATGGCACGAGCATCGTTACCAACCGAAGGACCCAAGAAGAGCGCTGACTAACCGCGAGTTCGTGGTGAACGCAGCTCACGCGATAGAACACATCTGGAAGGTGAGTATACGGCCATTTCTTACGGAACTCTGAGCCCGACTGCTGAATTGCTACTGCTTTTCTCTCCAGACGCTCGGTATCCCGATCTCCCCGTCTGCTCGTGCCAGCGTGAAGCTGATCGGCGTCTTTTACGTGTCCAAGGGGCGGTAAGTCTGAGTGCGCAGAATAGTGGTGCTCGGACGGTGAAGTTGACCCTACGTCTACCAGGTACCAGGCTATACTGGAGGCTCCTCTCACGGAGAGGTTGCACGAGCACAGTTCGTGGTGAGGCCAGATCTATACGATGTACCTCTATACTATTCTGGACAGCATCTCGAGACTTGTATTCAGACTCCGCGCCTCACAAGGCCACCCATCATCGACGTTGATCTTCGCACTTGCCACTGAGGGTCCTGGTACCGGCTTCGCGATCGATGTACGGCTTCCAAAAAGTGACATAGTGTTTTCAGGCGGTCTGAAGACTCGGAGAATGAGTGATGTCGTATAAAGCGGCTGTTCCATCGAGCATCAGCAATCAAGAGAGATGAACGGGATGTTAAGAGCACACACATTCGGCACACGCCTGCTCCTCCGCGAGTCGCTCATTAGAGCCCCTGCAGTAGAAGAGTAAGAAAGCTATGCTCCTTACATAGATCGCCAGCGCCCCACCAAGCGCCCGCGGATCCATCCATCGGCGCTCGAAGACATCACAAACTCATATCGGACAAGACGCTTCCCGCGAAAGCTATCCGGTTGCGCGGCTGACGCCTATGACGATGCCGCTCGTATGCGCGGACCGTATAGACACAGAGGGCGCCCTGGACGCGCATCGCGGGCAGGGCTGATGTTGTATGAGTGCGATGGGTTCTTCGTTAGGAGCGGTTGTTGGCTCGTGTAGTCTGTATTCCCCGTATTCATCCGATGCACGAACCAAAGTTGGAGATGTCTGGCTGCACAATAGTGTGAGCCCAATGTCCTGTGTGCCACATAGCGCAGACCGTTCGTACCTTTGGCCTGCCGCTGCAACTGGGGCGCCAAAGCCGAGCACTGCACCCATACGAGACTAGTACTTAGCGGCGAGTACGGGGCCTTCTTTGACAAAAAAGGCGGCCTGTATGGACGTCGCGGGGTAGTGGACCATCTGCGCGGGAGGAACTGGTTTGGCGGGATCGGTTTGGAGCTGTATCTGGGTACATTCGTACTGAGCATCGGGATATCCCGACTGGCATTCCATACAGCCCAGGTCGACCAGCGCCGGCAAACGTTGGTCCTGCGTTCGCGCGGCAAGCGTGCAAGAGTTTGAGGTCGACGATCGGACGGGAGCTGATAGGGCCGGACGGGTGAGGAGGATATTGGGCGGGGCTTGAAGGGGATGGGTTGATAGCAAGGGATATGGATTTTGGGAATACAGTTTTCTTTGGGGAGGTCACTGGATTGGGCGTCAGATCACGGTTCGATGAATGTCGGAAGGGACGCGGAACAAGCAATGGCCAAGGCTCTCAGCGCACCGAATGCCACCAGTCTTCTATCCTCCCCAATATTCCATGATAGCCATCCTTCAGAGCGCTCCAATTACTACCGACCGCCATATCTGGAATGAGAGGGAAGAGGGAGGATCAGACAGCCTCCCGCGAGTAAGTACCGACTGCAAATGGTTCGAAAGCGTCCAAAAGTACAACGTTGATAGAACCACAACACCAACGTCAAGATCAATACGCACTTGTGACGCTTTCCGAGGCGCCCATTACCGCGGCGATTGCCGTGATCCCACTGAATAAGCCGCTCGCTTATTGACAACCGTCTCTCTTCTCCCATCTCAATGCAGAACATACGACGAATGGGCTACATCCCCAGGCTTCGTTCGCGGTGCCGAACGAAGGGCTTGATGCTACGAAGCTCTCGAGCTTTCGTCCTTGAGCATCGACGCGACTGAATGACAGTCTTCAGTCGATCATCCCGCACTGTCGACCGGCCTATGACGGTAACAACACTCCAGACAACATGCCCTGTCTGTGAGCGTAGCTCGGTGACCACTCGATCCTCCACTTGTTGCAGTCGATCGAGAGAGTGCACGGTGCATGATGATGACTGCAAGACGGCAGAACCGCAAAGCGCCGGCACCGCGCGGGTCGATAATCGCCCCCCCTGTGGCCAATTTCACTACAGTACGGACGTGGCTTGTGGCGCCCACTCTCGCCAAAGAAGTTGACAATGCAAGTACCGTGCGCACGCTGTGGTCAGGCTGACCTGCAGGCTAACTTGTCAACCACGAGTCCCTTGAATAAGGACTTTGACCCATGCTCTCCAGAATCGTCCAGTCCACGACGTGGACGCATCGCGACGCAGAGACGTGGTTTGACAATTCCGGCTCCCGTATATATACTCCGCTTTCTACCCACGACACACAAGCGACGACAGCCCTCTAATCGACCATGCAACGCGGTAACATAGTCGTCAGTCTATTCCCCGTCTCCTCCCTACTATGCTCGCCGGATCACTGACAAATACGCATCGGCAGATTTCCTTCTACAAGCGCGATCGCACCGCGACATTCGCAACACAGATGTTCGGTGACAGTGGCGCCGCCGTACTATGGAGCCGCATCCTCCAAGCCGACATCCGCGACGACTCACGGGCATTGGTCAGAGATACCCGTCCGCACGTCGGCGTCCAAATACGCATCGACCGGTGTACCCCTCCGCCTGGCGCCTTACACGACGCGCACGGATGGATCATGGACTACCCCTGCACCACCACCTCAAACCAAGCCGAACGTATCGTGCGCCAAAAGCTCTACACTATCAAAAACGGTACGGGCACGCCGACCAGGGAGAACACCGTGCGGTACCGCGGGCTTCCTGCGCCTTTCTTCTTCTTGCGTGAAGATGTGAGAGGCTGGAATGATTGGAGTGTCGGGGTGTCGCTGGAAGAGGTACACGAGGACAAGGCCGTTACCGTGCTGGCCAACCACAAGCATCCGTATATGCAGGGAATGACGGAGGGCGGCGATACGTGTAGCATGTGGGTGATCTTCCCGGTGAGTTCCACGTCTTTCCTTCAGAGTGGTCAAAGGCCGCGAACACTACTGAGCAACGACGACGCCCTGCAGTGGAAAGACGAATGGCACGAATATCGTATCCAGCCCAAGGCAAGACGGCTGACTAATGCCGACTTCGTAAGGAAGGTGGCGGGCGCGATTGAGAACATCTGGAATGTGAGGATGCAACCGCTGTCTCGCATGATTTTGTGCTCATCTGCTGATATGCTACTACAGATGCTCGGTATCCCGGTCTCGTCCGCTCGCGCCAGTGTGAAGCTGATCGGCGTCATCTACGGGTCTCAGAGTCGGTGAGTCTGAGTGCACAGAAAAAGTCACAATCGCTCGATCATTCTGACACGACGCCTACCAGGCTTCAAGTCATACTGGAAGCTCCTCTCACGGAGAGGTTGCACGAGCACAGTTCGTGGTGAGACTAGATCAATACGATGTACCTCTGTACTATTCTGGACAGCATCTCGAGACTTGTATTTGGACTCCGCGCTTCATAACACATGTACTACTAGACGAACTTGTGCCGTCACGACAGCAAAACAGCGAGACTTCTGCAACCACATGCTTCAAGTGCTACACTATCTGCCGCGCGCGACGGCTATGGCTGGCTTTGCGATTGCTGTAGCCTTCCAATAAGCGACAGCTTTGCCTGGTGGTCTGAAGAGGACGAGTGACGTCGCATGAAACGGCTATTGCATCGAGCGTCAGCAATCAAGAGGATGGATAGGCTACGAGAGCACGCACGCACGCTCTTCCATGAGTCGCTCATTAGAGCCCCTGCAGTAGAAAAGTAAGAAAGCTATGCTCCTGCAACGTAGATCACCAGCGCCACACCAAACGCCCGCGAATCCATCGATCGGCGCTCGAATGCATCACGCTCATATCAGCCAAGACACCCCCCGCGAAAGCTATCCGGCTGCACAACCTACGCCTATGAGAATGCCGCACAAACAAAGCGGACCATATAGACGCAGGGAACGCCCCAGACGCGCGTCGCGGGCAGATCTGACGTTGTACGAGTGGGATGGTTTGTTAGTTAGGAGAGTTCGTGGGCGAGTGTAGTCCTTATTCACAATGTCCATGCGATGCATGAATTGAGGTCGAGAAGATCTGGGTGTACGACGTTGTAAGCCCGATGTCCTGTGTGCCACATCGCGCGGACCTTGCGTGCGTTCAGCCTGCCGACGCAGCTGCCACTGAAGCACCAGATCGCGATGCACTCCACCCGGCTACACGACTGCATTAGCGACAGATACGGCGCCTTCTCAAGATAAAAAGGCGGCCTGTGTAGACGTCGCGGGGTACAGCAGGCCATCTACCCGGGTGGATTGATCTCAGTCAAACGCGATTGGTTTGGGGTTTTATTCATGTCCATCCATTCCTCCATCCCGCATGCCCATCGGGCGATAGTACTCTCAGCGCTCGACATCTAGATCTCCCGTTCGACGTCTCATTCAGCTCAGTCTGAGGGGGTCTAAATCTTGCGGCCTGCACTTGCGCTGGAGTACCACGCGACAGGCATGCAAGGATTTAAGGCCGACTCGGCGTGGGCTGATAGGGCACGACGAGTGGAGATGACATTGAGCGGGCTGCAAGGATTCGTTGGCGTTGTCGTAGTACTAGAGTGCCCTCTTCGTAGGGAGTGAGACTGGACTGGGCGTCAGATTATCGCTCGATGAAAGTCGGAAGGAGCGCGGAATGAGCCGGACTATCAACGCACCACCGCACTCCTACAGTACCTCCACCAATATTCAGCTCTCCTCATGAGGTTTGATTAGCAGATGCCATAGGGCGACTCAGGATGCGCCCTGTTCATAGGAGAGCTGATGTACTGGGCGTCAGGTCGTCGCTCACGGGAGGTCGGGAGGTGCGCGGGGCGGGTAGGGCTATCGGCGCACCGGATGCCACTGATCTACTACCCTCGCCAATATTCTAGCATAGCCATATTAAGAGCGCCTTGAGAGTCCACTGCTACACCCGAAATGGAAAGGAGAGGGCAGGATCAAGACAGAAGCGATAGAAGGCGGGGGTGTGGACGGGTGTTGGCGGCAAGTGGCAAGAGCGACACAAGGATCAACGGCGGACGTTACGTCACTCGCCCGATTGGATCTCGCCTCGTGTAGGCGCGTTCACACCCCGTCTTCCCCGTGTTGCCGCGTTCGCAGCGACCCTTCGCCCTGGGCGTTCCCTCTACAACCAGTAGATTCACGCATAGTGTAGCAGAAAGGTATATGCTACCGATGCGCTCAGATAGAGAGTCGCAAAGAGCGGGGAAGAGGCGCGGAGGCATTGTGGACGGGTGTTGGCGTTTGATCTGCATATGAAATGTGATGTGCCGCGGGCGCGCCCCTGAGACCGAGAAACGCCAACTTGCTTCGATCGTCCGAGCAAAAGCCAAATCAGCCAGCGCCTCTTCGCCCTTCCTTCCTTCCCGTCACCCACCCATCACACCCCTCTACACACCCAACTGCCACGTCGGAGAAGTTAGACAGTTGAAGGGGAAATAATATCTTGGGATGAACAGGATGAACATCGACTCGCTGCTGCAGTCGTCGCCCTCGGACGACCATGCGACACGTCGGTCAAAGGCGCCCCCGCCTCCGCCTCCCACACAACAACAACAACAACGGCCCCCGCTATCGTCGACCTCGCAGCCCCAGCCACCTCTGCCCTCTCAGCAGTCACGCGCGTACTACCCCGCCCCGCCCAGCCGCGGCCCTCCACCCCCATCCTCCTTCGACCTGCGCGATACCGGCCGGCCAACACGTGAGCGTGAGCGCGATAGGGAGCGCGATAGAGATAGAGATAGGGAAAGGGACAGAGGAGAGCGAGACAGGGACAGGGATAGTATACTGTACGCGCCCGTCAACGAGCCTTCGCCGATGTACACCCCGCCCACATCCTCGGACCCCGGCCCGATCCCGGCCCGCGGCGGACAGCGCCAGCATCATCAGCATCCTCCTCCGCCTCCGCCACTTCCCTCTCAACAACACGTCCACCAGCATCACCCGTCACAGCAGCAGCAACATTCGCACGCGGGTGTTGTGCCGATGAGCGTCACGGTCGAGAGGAGGCATCAGCATCGGGCTGGGCATTCACATAGCCATAGTCACAGTCAGCCACCCGTTCAGCAAGGAGGAGTTGGAATTGGAGGAGGGGGGCACGGGCACGGGAGTGGGAGTGCGCCGCCCAGCCGCGAGAGGGAGCGGGAGCGGGAGAACAGAATGGTCGACACGGCCGTCGGGATGGACGTCGACCTGCCGCCGCACCAGCACCGGCCGAGCCTGAGCCCGCACAGGATCACGCACGGCCATGCGCACGCTCATGCGCACGTCCACCACGGACAGGTACACACGCATACGGCGCACGTGCACCATCCGCGCGCGAGCACGTACGCCGACGCGCCCGCGCATCATGTACATCCCCATCCCCACCAGCCACAGACGCATTCGGGACACGCGCACGTTTTACCACAACAACATCAACATGTCCAGCAGCAGCAGCAGCAGGCGGCACAGCCTCCACGTCCTCCAAGTCCGCCCAAAGCGATAAAACACCTCGGAACATACACGTACCCCCTCACGCCCTTCCCCTACCCCTTCTCCGCGCGCGACATCGGGTGCGCGGTCCGCCTCACGCTTATAGTCCCGCGGCGCGCGCTGCCGGACGACGCGTACGCGCCGAGGATATGGGGCGGGTGCGCGGGCGATTTGGATCGTTTGAAGAGTGGAGGGGGAGGGAGAGGGCAGGTGTATACGGACGACAGCGATGTCGTGGGCGCGGCTGTGCATGCGGGGTTCGTGAGGTGGTCGACGCTCATTCAAGCGCGCGAGCACGGTGCAGATCTCGCTCTAGACCTTGAGCTCCGTCCGGACGTCGTACGATACGTCGGTGGTGTGGGCCGGGCGTATGCGGGGGGTCTGGAGGGTGAGGACGAGGTCGTGGGCGTGAAAGAGGAGGGGAAGAAAAGGAACGGGCACGGGCATGGGCATTATGGGAGGAAAGATGAGGAGGAGGACGAGGAGGATGATGGGAGGGGCGTTGTCAGTGCTGGGTGGGGGAACGGGCATGATGGGGCTGGGTTCGAGATTTTGAGGGCGAGGTTGATCCCGGTACGTGTTTCCCGCTCTGAATTTGAAGGCGAATTTTGGACTGAGGGATTGTCGTTGTAGACGGGTTCGGCACATGGGACGCGCAGAGCGAGGACTCTAAGGTTGAAAGAGTACGCGCTTCGACGCGCAGAGATGATGCTCACGCCGCGGACGATGAAGCGCGGGTACCCTTTCGGCGAGGTGACTTCCTTTCGTGATTTTCAACATTCAACCCGTGCTGACGTCAGGGCGCCTATAGGACGACGAAGAAGACGCCTACGGTCCCGAAGCCCTCGCGCGCAAAGCCGCCCTCGTCCTCCCGAAAGCAATGGAGCCCGAAGCTAAACCCACGATCCTCCTCTCGTCATCATTCGGCTGGGAAGGCAACGTGTACGTCTCTCCGCCTTATATCTCCCAATTATAAATTTATACTGGTGTACAGGTACCGCTACGACCCGACCCATCTCCGCACAGCCCTCTTCCCCCCACCACCCCCAAAGCGCACGCGCAAGAGACCCAGACGCGACTCCTCGTCCTCCCATACATCTAACTCCGCCCAAACCTCCTCAAATCCTCCACGCACAGTCATACTCGAAACCGCATGCGAGCGCTTCGCCGTTAAACCCGCTTCTGCATCTGTATCGGGTGGCGACAGCGGTGGACGCTGGGAGATCGTGCTATTAGGACGCTTCGGCAAAGCAGCGGGCTTCCCGCTGAGCCGCGCGAACTCTGATTATGGGGGCGCATCTCCTCTTCCCCGTTCGCCTTTGAACGGCGACTCGCCCTCAACCTCTCAACATTCGCTCCTCACGCCCTACACAAACTCGAACAACCTCACAGCCGGCCCTCCAACCCCCAACGGCGAACCCAGCTCAAACGGAAACGGATCGGGCTCCGGATTACCGCCCGAATACCCCTCGCACGACCTCACGCGCTCCTCGTTCGCCTTTGCGCCCGACGAGCTGCGTGTGCTGGGTCCGCCGGAGCCGCGGACGGGCGCGAGGGCGGGGTGGGCGTTGGATGTTAGACGGTGGTGGATTGAGGCGCCTGCTCCTACTCCGACGTCGACGGCGTTGGATGTTGTGGCGGAGGCGGAGGAAGGAGGGGAGCAGGAGAAGGAGGGGAAGGAAGGGGAGAGGGACGTGCGGATGGACGTCACGGAGGGCGACGCGGAAGTTGTGGGGTCTGGGATAGGCGGGGCGCAGGTGCCTGAGCCCGTATCCGAGCAGACTGCAACGATCGAGCGGGCACCCGTGAGAGGAGCGGAAGGCGCTGTCGTGCCGAGCGCTGCTGCAGCCGCCGATCCCACCCCACCCGCCTCGATTGCCCATGAGCAGGCGACCGCGCAGGAGGAAGAGAGGGACGTCGTGCCGCCGGGGATGATCCCGCCTCCGTCGACCGAGGCGGAGGTGCAGAGTAGCGCGCAGATTGCAGAGGAGCCTGCCAGCGCGAGTGGCGCCGTCGCCGAACCCGCCATCATCCCCTCAACTTCCGATGCTGCAGTACCACAACCACCGCCCGCGCCCGCGCCGGCAGATGTCCCCTCGGCATCCCATCCGGGCGAAACCGTGAACACGGCAACGAAGGATGCTGGCGCGGCGGAGGCGCAAGCGGACAAACCCGCCAGCCCGATAGACGCTGCGCGCGCGATGGGGTTCGAGCCTGCCTCCGCACCCGCCGTTTCCGTTCCCGCTTCTACTGCTGAAGGAGAGGGAGGGCCGGCGACGGTGCTTGCGCCCGTTCCATCGACTTCTGGACCCTCTGCACCGGTCTCTTCCGCTCCCGTGCCACCTGTTGCCACAGGTGAGGACGTCGAAGACGGCGAGATCGCGTCGTCGAATGGAGAGGCGCCGCCGCCGATTGGGGAGACTGCTAGTGCTGCTGCGCCTAGTCTTATGGGCGCGGGAGGTGCGGGGGTGGGGATGGATGTTGATGCTTGATTGGACTGTATCCATTGCTTGTATGCTTGATTGTGTTTGGAGTGTGTTCTTGAATATTGTTCGTGTTTTGAGTGTTGGTGGATTGTGCGAGTCGCGGGTGTTGGGGTTCCGCGCGGGCTTCGTAATCGAGCGTTGTTTATACACTCATACGGTACATGATGAGGCTGGATCTCGTAACTTCATCCTGTTTTCTCTCTGAGAACTACTCATGGTATACTGATCGCCCTTTCCTCCGCCCACCACCTAATGTACGGATATTCTCTATGAAACTTGTGCGCCGATCTCGTCCCTACGGAAAAACTCCTCATCGAGCATACCCATGATGATGATATCCTCCCAGCGCCCATGCCCGTAACGCGCGCGTCGCCTGATGCCTTCTTGCACGAAGCCTCTGGATCCCGCATCAGCTCCTGTCAATGCTGAGCAACAACTGAACGTACATCTTCTTGTACAGGGATACAGCTCTCTTATTAGACTCGAACACAGCGAGCGAGACGCGATGCGCATCAAGAAAGTTGAACGCATGCTGTACAACCCATCCACACATCTCCGTCCCGTACCCCTTCCCCCACTGACTCCTCTCCACAAACATCCCGAGCTCCCCATCGCGCGGCCGCGGCCACGTCATGCCGACCCAGCCCACGAACTCTCCGGTTTTGGTATCGACGACTATAAGGCAGAGCGCCCAGGTCTCGCTCCAAGTTTTGATCTTGGTCCTCATGCTGCCCTCGTCGTTCGGCTTGATGTGCTCAGTGTTTCCACCGTCTTAAATATCGGGGTGACACCAGGCCTCGTACCACTGGTCGAAGTCGCTGGAGCGGAAACCGCGGTAGGTGAGGCGGGCGGATTGGAAGAGGGAGGGCATGATTGGGATTGGTCGCCTGTGTGGCCGTCGTCGCTCTTATGCGATGCATATATATCCAGCGCTCACTCCAAAGCTTCGTTGATGAGCCGCGAAACCCGTACTTACCTGAGAATCTCGGTCGCCTCGGGCGTCTGAAGCAGCGCTCAAGCTTCAAACCATTCGAACTCAGGTCGCGCATGGAGTCAACGCAGTTGATCCAGAGTCAGTATCTCGCCAGCAGACAGTACTGCATGCCATACAGAGGTTCAGCCATGTTACTGGGTAGAGCTGGGATCGCATAAATATGCTGTAGAATACCTGAGGCTTCGTGGCGGAATGCGTCAACATGCTCAAGCGAAACGTGGACTCCGGACGGACGGGAGTTGCCGAATCGAGATGCCGACTCTGGCCGCCGACACCACCACCACCACCACCACCACGATTGACTTGGTAGCCCTCTCGGCTCGAATTACTATCGCAGTTTTCATCTAGCATATGCTTCCACCCTCATTGCGAAAGGTCTGCTCCCACGCATACAGTGAGGGGTACCTCGGAGCGAGCAGTCCGAGCGTGAACACGGCCGTTACCCGCGATCGCTCGGCGACCTTGCTCTCAACGTCAATGTTGCAGTTCTCACCTGGTACATGCTGACCTGAATGAAGGTCTTTTAGGCCTCCAAGTGTCTCGAACTGTTGGTGTCATGTAGAGATAGGTGTGCATCGGCGCGCAAGGGCGGCGGTACCGAGCTCAATATCATGATGGTCACGGTCTTCCAATCCGATGGTCTTCCACGCTGACGCCACGACTCTATTGGACATCATGGTAGCGAAATCTCAATCAGCATTACACTGTGCTTATCTACCTGGCGTAGTCGAGGTTGAGTGCCTCGGTATACCTCGCTGGTCCCATATAAGACCGACATGCAGCGCAAGCCACAGACCTCTGCCCGGATTGCAGCCGACATGTCTTCTGGCAGTCCGCTACCTCCCCTCCCTCGCGCCTTGGACAAGCGCGACACCTACTACGGCATATTCAATAATGTGTCGGACGATGATGCGGCCCTCGTCGAAGCGATAGTGGATGACTTACTTATTGACGGGTATATGGTCGCGGTCATGTCCCTGCTATTTGGTGCGTGTGCATCATACTTCTTCGAATGGACCCCTTCTCATATGAATGTACTTCTCAGCATTCTATTCCGTTGTCTTCTTCGCGGCGATGCGGCACCTGGTGTGAGTCTGCGTACCCCCTCTTGTCGATTGGGCTTGCTCACTTCGCCACCAGAAAGGACGGGCTACGAAGTAGACCCAACAGATCGATGTTGGCAGCTCTGACGTTCATGTACGGGGCTGCATGCGTGACGTACGCCTTCGAGCTCCTCTACCTGCGCCAACTGGCCAAGGCAACGATCGTGGACTTTACCGGGCGGATCGGTCTCTTCGACAGCAATATCACTACAGTCGCCCGGGTGGGGCAGTTTGTCGTCCAGGGTTTGAGTGTACGTGGCTGTCTAACTCAGTCGTTGATGGAATGAAATTAACGCTGGAGTGTGTAGGTGCTATGTGGGGACCTGGTCATCCTTTGGAGGACGGCCGTCGTTTGGCATAATAGCGTTATCATACGAAGGGTGAACTGGATCTTCATGATCTTTGTCGTCGGTGAGCACCTCCTCAGTACTACTTCTCGATGACCATTAGCTGACATTGCATCCAGTAACCTGGATCGCAGGCATAGCCATCCTGCTGAAGTCTGGCACTCAGTTCGTGCTGATTCCGCTCGCACTCTCACTCTCAGTCAATATATGGAGTACGGTCGCGATAGGGTATAAGACATGGTGAGCCTGACTCTTAGAGAATGGTCGATCTGCCCTGCTTTGCCTTCCTGACACGTCTGTTCAGGCATCGTCGTCGCATGGTAAGCCGGCATGTATTCATGGCAGGCCGCTATTCTGGGTCGGCAGCAATAGAACGCGCTTTGGTGGTCCTTACGGAAACCGGTTTAGCTTACACGGTGTTATGGGTACGAGTCCAGTTGCGTTTGATTAGTCGTGTCTTGATCACAGTGCTTCTTCCAGATCGTCTATGTCGCTGTCGCGGCGTCGTACTACTTTGGGCCCAGATCAAACTCGTTCGACGAAGTTGACCTCACACTTGAAGCCTCGTTCAACTGGCTCAGGTTGATCATGAACATGTTGATCGTACGTTACCCTTTACAACTGTACCTTCTGATCCTGACTTTTGAGTTCAATAGCCAATCTATCCGACTCTCCTCATCCTCCTCGTCGCTCGACGTACTACACCGCTGACCGAGACGCTCACCTCGATCGATGTCGACGCTGTGGCGGTGGCCTCGAGTTCAAGAGGAAGTGTCGTGGACACCGTACCACTTCAGGATGTTCCGGATCCGGAAGATAAGCTCGATGGAGGCTTTGCGAGGGGTCCAAATCCTCCTGCATACATCTGGTCTTGAGCATCGAATTGATATCTTGTAGTAACATGGACAACTGCTACTGCGACACGAAGACTGAGGATTGTCCCATTCATTCAGCCTGCACGATACCTGCCCTCCGCAATCGCCTCGACTCAGGAATCGCACGCCAGTGTCCCATGCCCTTGAGAAATCTGCAACGCAGCGTCCCGAACCGAATAATCAATCAACTTGCCGCTTCCCGGCTCCAGCGCAGCCGTGAAGTTGAACCCCTCCGGCGCTCCACCGAACCCGTTGAACATCTGCCGCACCATCACATCATTTTCGATTCCCTCCATGGTCACCGTGAAGTTGCCGCCAGGGGCGACCTCGCCCGTGAGCGTATCCGTCGCCGACGCATACTCGCGCTCCGCTATGTCCTGCGTCACTTCCAGCTGCAACGCGATAGCCCTAACCGAGCAAGCCTTGTTGGATGGGTCGAGCAAGAACTCGTTGGCTGAGTGCATGGCAGCCAAGAAGCGCGCCAGGAGGGCGAACTCAGTGGCATTGGCGAGGGAGGATTGACGGATAGTGAAGGCGGACGACGTTATGGGGGCGATGAAGTCGGATACGCGAGCGAGGATATTGGGTGGCGCCGGAGAGGGGGAGAACAGAGTTTGGCTCTCTATGGTGAAGGGGTAGGTGAGGATGGTGGCGAATACGTCGGTGCCGTTGGGGAGGCTGCCGTTGAGGAGGTCCGCGAAGCGAATGTTTGTACCGCCGACAGTCTTTCTCACACGTCAACGGATTGATCCCGCACACAAGAAGTGATCGCGCACTATGAATGTGAAGTCCCCATCAACAAGCTCCAAGCCGAACTTCGAGAGGACAAATTGTAGTAGAAACGAGTATCCACTAAGGGGCGAGTCGACAATGATAGATTTGCCCTGTAGTTGGGACACATTGGTGATAGAGGGAACCGAGGCCAGTACGAGGCCGGGGCCTTGATCGAGTTGACCGAGAACGGTGACGTTCTGGTTGAGGTTGAACCGGTTGTTGAGCGCGTTGTCGACCGTGGCGATCAATATGTCAAACTGGCCGCCCAGCAACGAGTCAAAGGCCTGTGTGCTGCTGTTGACCTGGTTGAAAACGACGTTGAGCCCGTTGCGCGTGAAGAAGCCGAGCTGGTTTGCAATGCTGAACGTCGCTGAGAACACGCTGCAAACATCGAGTTGTCAGATGTGACGGGTCTTCTGGTGGGGAGCTCTGGACGAGAACGACTCACAAATCACCGTACTGGATCGTGTCAAGGGCTGCCGCATGGCCGAGGAAGCATAGCAGTAGAAGAAAAGCAGCAATCATCATATCAGTCTGAAGATGCGCAAAGCACGGCTGCTGGTGTAGAGAGCATCGAAGGCCGAAGGAAGAGGGTTCCCAGACGAACCCGACGGGCGCCCGCAGCTTCTTTTGGTGCTGCACAGAAGAGTGAACATCCTCTCGAATAGGAAGAGCGTGTCGGGAAAGGAACTATGTCTGGCACTCCCCTTTACCTGAGCGTCAACGGGAAAGCTTCGAAGTTCACGAATGACACGTCGTGTCAGGTAGTACAAGCTTCAGAAGTCCCTGACGGGAGGCACTGTTGAGTATAAGGCCAGACGTAGTGCACTTAGTTCAATTGGCCCGCCTCTGCATCATCCAATCGTCGAGACGACGAAAGTGTAATGTAAGCCACATCGCTGTCGCTGCGGATTCGTCCCGGGAAGGTCTCGGAAAGCGCCGATCAGCGCAGCGCTGACGCTGATCCGCCTCCGACCTCGTCACCTTGACCTTGCCTTGACCTCGACTTCGACTTGGTCACCTTGACCTCATATACATACATGCTGCTTGTTCAGACGTACAGGGAGCATTGCTGGAGCCATTCTTCCTCAAAGCAGACGGCTACCTCAATGCCTGCCACCGCCTCCGGTTGTCAATCGCGCGAATTCGATTTCACTCTTCCTGCCGCTACCAGTGCTCCCGTCAAGTTCGGGTTTCTTACCTCCCTGCTGTATGTGCACAGCTTCAGAGAGACAACGCGCCGAAAAACCTCGAATGCGCATATCCTCGCGCTTGAGGCTATGTGTACGCTGCAATCGGCATCACCCGTCTTGAGGAGTTCGGCCCATCAGAGATCAGCGCCAGTTGCACGCTTGAGTCTGCATCGCCATTATTGGGGCGGCGGGGACTTCATCGCCTTCTCAGCATGTATACAACGCGCACATATAAGAGCGCGAACGGCCTCGATGACGACCGTTTTGACCGATCAATCGACTCATGCCCCGGTGCGAACCGCAGCGCGCCCATCGCCATGCGTTTCAGCCCGGATGAGCTCTCCGCTCCTCATATCCTCAGCACACGCGATACAACCTACTACGGCTTATTCGGCAATGTGACGCAGGACGAGGCCGATTCTGTCAACAACCTGATGGGTCCCATAGTGACGATCGGATACCAATGCGTGGTGATGTCTATACTATTCGGTGAGCATTTGGGTGTTTCAATACCCTGAGTCCTATCTCACGACTTTCAGCGTTCTTATCTCTGGCATTCACCACGACCGTGCGGTACTTGCTGTGAGCAGGGCTGTCTTTACTTCGGTTCGGACTGACATGCTTACGATACTCTAGACGAGATGGCCTGCGTCGCCGATCCAACAAATGGATGTTGGTTGCGTTGACTGTCATGTACAGTGCAGCGGCTATCTCCTACGCTTTTGAACTTATCTCTTGGCGCCAATATGTTCGGGAAACGACCTACACTCTCACGGGGCTCTATGGCACGTCCGATGACACGCTTGAGACAGTTGCAGATGCCGGAGTGTATATACTACAGGACATCAATGTGCGAGATGATTTCCTTCGCCGACTGTACCAGTGCAACTGATTCAACACTATCGCAGATTCTCTGTGGAGATCTCATTATCCTCTGGAGAACGTCCGTCGTATGGCACAATAGCCGGCTCATCCGGAGAATCAACATTTTGGTTCTTGTCCTGATGATATGTGCGTAGGATACCGGATTGACACGATCGGTGGAAATGATACTGACACGCGAACCAGTGGGCTGGATAGCCAGCATAGCCCTTCTTGTCCTGGTGGGCCTAGAGTTCTTGGTCCTTCCCTTGGCCTTGTCTCTGGCCGTCAATCTATGGAGCACCGCCATCATTGGATACAAGACATGGTAAATCTAGTGTAGCCGTTATTCTCTGGTGTCTCTTCAACTCATGCAACATCTAGGCATCGGCGCCGCCTACTACACCGCCAAATCGTCATGGCTGGACGTCCTTCTGCCGCTATCGAAGGCGCACTGGCTGTGCTCACCGAGTCTGGTGTGGTGTATCTCGCGTTATGGGTGCGCCTTGACCGAGCCAAACTACATCCCGCATGCTGACATCTTTGATCCAGATTATCTACGTGTCTATCGTGTCATCTTTTTTCTTCGGGCCCGTGACCTACGTGCAGGCCACCCTAGATCGCAGCTTCCAATGGACGGTGATCGTCATGAGCATGCTTATAGTACGTGTGCGTGATCCTGAAGTGAGCTCTGCGCTTACGAATCCACACCTCTAGCCGCTCTACCCTACGCTCCTGATTCTACTCATCGCTCGGCACAAGACACCTCTCTCCGAAACGCTCACGTCGATCGATGTCGACGTAGGTTTGAGTCTACCGACGCGCACCGACTCGCCGAGTAACATTTCCGATCATGTTGAACTCCAACCCACACGAGATAGTACTGGGAAGATTGGCAATGAGCTATACGATCCCTACGCTGATATCACGGCCACCAGTCCCGTGCGCTTGGCGCCCAACAGGAGGCCATGACGTTTTTGTCGAGTGTATATGTATGCAGACCTGCTTTGAGTAGATGAACACAGCTTCCGGTTTCCGATGATAAAGCCAGATGCGACCTGTACGGTCCTTAGGCCAACTCTATTACTTCGAGCAGCAAGGCAGAAATGTACAACTGAGAGACAATAATCATACACGCAGTCGAAGAATGTCTTCTATTCAGATAGATACGAGAGACGTGCATTATGCGCGCGCCATTCATGCCCCGCCAGCACCGCCATCGTACATCGACTTCATGGCAAGCCCGATGCCTCGGATGTAGGCCTCTTATCCGCCATCTGTTTTACGCAGGGGGGCCATACTCGTCGATTACACTCATCGGTGGTACGAATACTCCCAGCGGCTTGTACTCCAGGTCAAACCCGAAGGCGCGCGGACCACCGATGTCGATGCCGCGCGGTGTGGATGTCCACTTGTCCGAGCCTGTGATGCCGAGTACGAAGACATGGAGGCCATATCGATAGTCGGACGTGCCAAGCGCCTCGCCGCTCGCGGCATCGCATACGCAAATGAGGTCGGGGACGGTTGCAAGCACCTCTGTGCCGTCAGGTTGGACGCGCGTGGCGATGAGGTTCTCGTTCTTGAATGGTATGGTCAGCCTGCCGGCGTCGGAGTCCATGATGGCCACTTCGCCGTATAGGTGACCTTTGACGTTCTTGCGTTCGACGCTGACAATCTTGCCCCTGTGGTACTATGATCAGTATCATCGCGTCTTATGCGTGGGATACAACGAGGAGAAACGTACCTGAACAAAACCCGTGCCGTCGTAGGCCCTCCGACGGCGTCGACAATGACGTCCGCGACAGCATCAAGGTCGCTACGCGCTCGACACAGAGCTACAGCACGTCCGATGCGCCAGGCCAGGGAGACTGTATGCTTCACTGCCCAGGCTCTGGTATCTGCGCCGGAGAAAGCCCCCTTCGCGAAACCTACAGAGGACCCCATCTCTGCGAGAATGGCACGGAACGCGCGCTCGACCATGCGTTCAGATGTTGCGCGGCTCATGACGACCACATTGCCATTGCCATCGGCAAGTGCGTTCGGGAGCGCGTGCGCCTGGTCGCCACCCAGTACTACGGGTGTCACTTGCCATGCCGTTGGGTATGCACGCCCCATGAAGTCACCGTCGACAACCGGTACGTTCATGTTAGCGGATGCACCAAGCAGGAAAGCTGATGTCTTTCATCAGCGGCGTATCGTCGTGGGATGAGGAAGTCCTCTCACCTTGCAAGCCATTCATGCCACCTATCTCAAGTGTGATCACCGCATCCGGCTGCGAGCCTATGGCATCCCAGACTGCGCGCTGTGACTCCATCATCCTGTACAATGTTATCAGAGACTACCCCGGAAGTCGATAAGCCTTGTATACGAACTGGTTGCCTGCCAGCTTCTCGATCACAACTGCTGGGCTGCCCATCCCACACCCCGATGCGATGCTTGCACTGTCTTTGATGTCGTCGACACTGACTACGCGGATTGTGCTTCCTGTGCGTATGAGCTCGCGGATGCGTACAAACTCCCCATAGGGAGAACCGCCGCCACCCGAGCCTAAGATGTAACAGCCTGTGGAGATCCACTCCAGGTCCCGTTCAGACAGCAACCATTCCCGATCGGGAGTGACAACGGGCTGATAGGACTCGAGCTCATACAACGTTGGCACTAGCGGCAGCGGTGTATGTGACGTGGACCGTTTATCGACGGGCTCGTAGAGCTTAGTGTTGAACTCGGGGTCGTCAAGAGCGGCAGGTAGCGGTCTCGAAAAGTCGAAGTCGCCTATAGCCTTGACGATGAAACGTGCCTTGTTAGCCACATATTGGATAGGGATCACGTCGACTTCAGCGAGCTCGATCGTGTTACGCAGCGCCCCGTTCTCGAATGCACGCTCGGTGGCAAGCTGCGAAACCTCTTCGAGCACCTGCTGTGTAGTCTTCTCAGCTGTAGGCCGGACAGTGTCAACTGTACCCGACACGCGCGCCATAGCTTCGATACCGTCAGAAGTGAGCATTCTAGATAACAAGCATGAAAGACGTACCTGCACCTATTGCATTCGCAACGCCAGAATATTTGGGCTTGATGACCTTACTCGCTCCTCTAAGCTTAGTTCCATCTCCGAACAGAACAGCACCCTATACAATTCATCAGTTTGACGGTCAATGGACAAAAAGACAGTTCCATACACCGCCGACGAGCAAAACATCGATATCCTCCGCCTTTGTCTTCATCCTGTCGATGATACTTTCGAGCATGCCGTGTAAGACGACGCAAAACTCCTCTGCATGCTCGCGTACGTCGACGGGTACCCTATCGGCGTTGCCAATCTGCAGATTCGCAGTCGACGCAGCAACGGCGTAGTCGGTGGCGGTCGGGGTGCTTCCCCCAAAGACGAAAGCCTTGGTCTGGATTTGAAGACCAACCGAGTCTGGTCCGATAGTCAACTTCCCGTCTCTGCGCACAATTGAACCGCCACCAAGGCCAATGCTACCCGTACAGCTCTCAGCAGTGGCTGTGGCAGCGATAACATCCGGACATACCTCTTGACATCCGGACAAGAGAAGTTCATCCGTATACCGGCTACATCCGTGGTAGCCGCAGCTTGGCGCGGAAGTCCATTGGGTAGTAGCATTCCTACGTCTGTAGTCGTCCCACCAATGTCGATGACGAGCATTGGGCGTCGAGTAAGTCCGAGTTCATGGCGAACAAGAAATGCAGCGCCAGATATGGAGTTGGTAGGACCAGAGTTGAAGGTGCGTATAGGGACGCCAGCAGCAAGGCGTGCGGGTAGTAACGTTCCGTCGTTCTGCGCTAGGAAGACAGGACAGGAAAGCTCCAGAGCACGGGCTGCTCGTTCGAACGAGGCGATGGTGGCGCGAGCGAAGGGCAAGATGGAAGCATTCAGCAGCGCCGCGTTCTCACGCTCAAGGAAGCCGAGATTGGCCACTGAGTACGAGTGCGTAAAGTCAGGTGGATGTAAGACAGGTAGAAGATTAGTGACAGACCATGTTTGGATAGGACGACATCAGCGTCTGGGTAGTACTTCTTGACCCACTCGCCGACTCGCTCCTCCTGTAGTTCGACGACGTCGGCCGGCGAGAAGATCCCGTTGATGACGATGTTCTTGATGCCTTTCTGCTTGATGAGCGCGCATTGCTCTTCTATCTGATCCTCGACGGGCTCGCGTATGATGTCGCCGTCAATCTCCAGCCCACCGTCGACGAAGCCGCAGTGCTGGCAGATGATGGTCTTCAAGTCGACGGGCCAATCGATGCCAGGATATTGCTCGCGTGAGAAAGGGCCACAGAGGCGTATGACAGCTACAGGCGCGAGCCGCCCGGCGTCCTTCTCGACGACGGCGTTGATGAAGTGCTATGTAGCGCGAGATCAGTACCCGCCACATCGCCCACGACGCGCCACTCACCGTCGTGCCGATGGTCAAACTCGCCACCTGGGCTGGCTCGATCTTCGCGTCATCGAGCAGCTTCTTGATGCAGGCCTCGATACCATCGCTTGGGTCGGGAGTCGTGGGTGCCTTGTGATAGGCGAGGATGCCGTGGTGAGATATTTCGGTTGCAGCAGGGTCAAGGAGGACGCCGTCCGTGTTGGTGCCACCAACGTCGATACCGATACGCAGTCCAGAGTGCTCCATGGCCGACATGGCCGACGTGAGGGAGGCAAATGGTACAAGGCACTGAGAAGACGCAGCGGGCACATGGAGGTGCGGCGCGTATATATACGCATCTAGTGTAGAAGTCGCAGCGTCACAGATGCCTTCGCGCGCCTTCACCGCGTATGACGGCCCGGGAACTCACAACACTCATCCATCGAAGAATATGTTACAAACATCAAATGACATTCCGTGAACAGAAACATGGCGGGACTCTTCAATACGAAACCTAACAGCTCATGAATCACAGAATCGCGCCGGTACGGTTTGCCTCCATCATGTTCTTCTCTACCCACTGCCTCAACTGGGTCCAGTCGCGGCACTGGTGAGTGACGCCAATGCTTCTGGAGATGTACCTTCCCTCCGTCCCTGTCGGCTTGGCCGGAATCAGCGTAGGGTCCGCGTTGCACAGCAACATCTCCCTGATGTAGTTCATGCAATGGGCGAAGTGGTTATCGAAATGCGTGCCGTTCCCGGGGTATACGAGGGCGTGCGCTCGTGCTGCTGCGTACGAGATACGAAAGACGTCCAGGCAATGAAGTTGGTGGTACATCCCGACCGCGAAGTGATCCTGATTCGGGCCCAAGGTGACGAACCCGCTTCGACCAAAGGGAAAGAGGGACTCCCAGTCGTCGTCGGCGTACAGCCCGTACACCTCGTCGTCCAGCCACTCAACGGTGAGGGCTACCTGACTAAGTTGCACAGGAAGCTGGTGAGGGCGGTCGCCATTTGTGTAGCCTGTGGTCCGTAAGCATCGAATGAGGCCGGGGAAAGAATGGAACTCACTGTACTCGATAGTCTCTGGGGAGAGGACTCGGTCAATCTGTCGTGCAAGCCGTTTTTTGAGACCCAGATCGACAGACTGGTAGACAGCGGTTACGGCCAAGATGGCCATGAGCCAGATGGATACGTTCGTCATGAGTAGAGACTAAATGATTGCCCGTAGAACTATGAGTATCGTGACCTTGCCTTAAGACGGGGTAGAGCTGTGCGGCAAGCTCATTGATTGGAAACCCGGCGGGATGTGACTGTTCACAGCTTGAGAATAGCTTGAGATCTTTGGAAGTTGCTAACTGTATTCGCGATGATACTCAAAGCATGAGATGTCCGAAACACCCTTGGCCCATAACATCCGTTGGGCTCCATTCGAAACACCGTTGGCGATGTGGAGGCGTCGGAGCGCTCGTTCTCTGAGCAGGATACAGTCGGTGTTGCAGATCTTGATACGTTGTCCATAAACCCTCCGTAATCCGGAAGCACGCGGTAAACGGTGGGACTTGGAAGGCATGATCAAAGCTAATGCCTGGGGGAAATGGACGGAAACCGTCGACTTCCGTCGTCGAAGCATGCCTACGGGTAGAGTGGGGAGGTTCGTTCCCAGGGACACCGGGTCACCGATAGACAGAGCGCACCGTTGGGCTTCGAGGAATGCTTCGGGAGCGCCCTACTGCACAGCTTCCTGGTCTTGCAGAAGCCCGGTATAGTTCATGTCGCCGAGCTTGTATACGCATCTCCGCATGGGTAACATTGTATAACACTGCCAGATGAGTTAGCCTCTCGAAGCAAGAGACGTATCAACAACACTCCATTGTTGAGATCGAAGATAGATCTTAGGAGTACAAGATGCAGAGGTATGAGGTGGCACGAGACCCACTGGCCTGATGATAGGTAGACTCTGATGCTTCCACGTTCGACAGCAACCAGCTGCATCAGTTTCTGGCTGGAGATAAGGAGTTTTCACATATCTCGGCTGTACTTGTGTCGATTCGGTCAGTGTTGACCTGGTTGATCTGGTTCGGCGCGAACTTAAGGGTCTGTTCGGCAACCCGATCTTGCGTTTCCGTCATGATTTCCGCAGCCGCACTTAGCGCCATGATTGGTGGAGAGGCCGTCGAAAGTTCGAGAGCCTCGATATTCTTGCCTTGTAAGGCAATAAGTTTGATCAAAATCCTTCGTCATGACGGAAGATCAGGTTGCCGAACAGACCCTAAAGGATCGAAGTCAAGTCGAATTTCCATTAGTCACACGCTCGGGCCGGTCACCGGTCACCGGTCACGCCGCCATGTACCGGATGTCCCGTTTCAAGTTTGCATCTGACGACTGTAGTTGTACTACGAACAGCATCGGGATAACGGGCATCATTGCGTCGTTGGCAATTGCTCTCAGTGCCTCAGCATGAAGCTTCACGACAGTTACAGCACTTATCTACCAGTCTCAGCTTCTGCAGCAGCAGCATTCGCTTGCATGTTGTCCTTGACCCAATCCCTCAACTGCGTCCAGTCGTGGCAGCGATGCGTGACGCCATCACTCTCCGCAGCATATCCTCCTGTATCCGCGATCGGTATCGCCGGAAGCAACGTAGGATCTGCGTTGCACAAGACCACTTTCTGCAAGTAGCGAAGGCAGTGATCCACAAGGTCGTCGTACGCCGTTGCATTCCCAGGATGACCCAGCGCTTCTGCTCGTGCCGCCGTGTATGCAATTCGCATCACGTCCAGAGTGTGAAGCTGCTGGTACATCGCGATGGCGAAGCGCTCATGGTGAGGGCCCAAATGAACTAGAATACGATCCCCGGGAGGCCAGAGAGAGCGCCAGTCGTCGTCGGCGTAAAGTCCGTAGACGCCGGTGGGGGCCCACTCTGTCGTCAGCGCTGCTTCACGAAGGCGCAGTGGTACTCGGTTGGGGAAGTCATGGCCACTGTAGTCTGCAAACGTTTAGCGATACGATTCGCTACGACGACCGAAGCAAGACTCACTATACTTGACAGTGCTGGGCAGAAAGATAGGATCAAGTTGGCGTGCAACATGTGTCTTGTACAACAAATCGATTGCCTGGTAGACAGCGATCATAGTGAGGGCGACTACAATGAGCCAAGGAGATGTGTTGCTTGGCATGAGGAGATGAGCTGGGCAGGAAGAATAGATCGGGTGGCTAAGACCCTCGCCACCACATCTCTTCGAGGAATGTAGATGTCCGGGTCGTGGGATGCAACTGGGGACCGGTGCAGGTACTGTCCACGGTGACAGTACACCATCCGAGCACCGCGTGTACGAATCTACTGTTGCAGAAGACCATCTTGACAATCTTATCAGAATACACCGGTCATAGTGGAACGGGGAGCGTGTTACATGCCTCGCATAGCCATTGAATCGGAGGCGCTCGCGCAGGTGCTCTCATCGGGACTTTCATGAGTTTCCGGGATATTGATAGCTGCATTCCGCTATAGGAAGTCGTTTTCGAAGGCCCCACTGCCTCAACTACATGCTTTGATCAGTAGGGCTCGCGGGGTGTCATAAATGCACGGGCTCGTACCTGACGTATGCCATCAATGTTGACCATGTCCACCTTCCGACCCAACGACGAGATTCACTTCAAAGACGACGAATCAACAGAGGCCCTCCTACCCTTCAACACAACAGAGAAGGATGACGGACTGACACAGCACAAGTCCAAGCCCTGGCTGTCATTGTCCTCGCTCATTATCCTCATCCTCGTGGTCGTGAACACTGGTCTGGCTTGCGCGAACATCCAAGCTACGCATTCGAACGCTCTTCGTACACTGGCTGTCATCCCTGCGCAGGACGTCATGCAACTTAGCAAACCAGACCAATACTACGGGCTAGGCGAAGCTTCCCGCAAGAAGTGTAGGTATAACGTCGCAGATTCGGGTGCATGTTCTGATGACTCTTGTAGTGCTTCACCCGGAGCTCTACGCTGGCGCTAGCGGCTGAAGGGTAGACGTATCCAGGCGGCGCAACGGGTTTCCTCGGGCTCTTGATTTAGAAGATCATATGTAGCCGTACGGCATCTTGCAGAAATCGATAGTGTCGGAGAGAGCGCCTTGATGTCATTGTCGGCGGTGTGAACCTTTTGGTGATAAACGGTCGTATTGTACACGCGGTGCGGAAGCCCTCCCAAGCGCCAAAGTCGGAGTTCGCGGAGGCTGGTGCGGAGGAGAGTTCGACGTCCAACAAACTGAATTCAGCTGATCACGCGTGCGCTCCCACGCTCCCACGTTCTGGGCTCGCGCCGAAGCCCGAAGTTCGGGAGGACGTGGACGCCCTTCCTCTTGCGACGTTGACGGGCCCCATAGCGAAATTGCAGTCGGTGCTCCCTTCATCTTTGATCTTGCACACGTTGGCTTTGCTGGCTCCAGTATCGCAAGCGCAGAATTCATATGGAATTCGTCCAGAAGGGCATTACCGTCCACCTATGCAGGCGCAATGCCCCGTGTTCGCGTCGTCACGCTCCCCTGTGATTGCCCCGCTTGGGCTCAGCGACCAGCGATCGAGAAGTCTTCCTCCTATCTTTTTCTAGCACAGCCAAAGAAGCTGTAATCGCAGGGCAGGCACGATGCGCATACGTCCGGTGCTTTGCTGCCAGCGCCGCAAGCCCCAAAGATCGTTTGCGCAACAACTTCATTCACAGAGAGGTCTGATACTCGATCATTGTAGTATGCTGAGATGTGAGAAGTCACCATGATCGAACGGATGCGTAATATGGCTTCCATTCTCCCTCTTCCGCTCTCTATGACTGGTACCGGGCAAACAACTATTGCACCTCGTTCATGCCCTCGCGCCGCGCAGATCTCTGAATGGTCGTCGAAGAGATCCGTTTCGCGGCGTGATATTACTCAGACACGTTGCAGTATTGAGGACTGCAGTCTATCCCAGACCGAATCCCGTATGCCCGCCATTGAATCACTTGTGCGTGAACGCTAACGAGTAGTGGCAGATCAATAGATGAGATGTAGAAGAAGCTTGTAATCGGGGAGGATGATCATCGGTGCTTCGGGGACAGGTGATACAGATACAATCGATGCTCGTGTATACGACCGGGGGAAGTATGGCAGGAGGGATCTGAGAACTATCGCTCAAAGGTAAAGCTCGTTCGGACGGGCAGTGATGCTGATACGTATCGAGTGTGCATCTTACCATGTGGATACGACCTGGGCAAATCAGCGGGAGAAGAGTAGCGAGGTAGACCCCCAGAAAGCGAGATATGCAGGTTCCTCTCGGTCGGCAGGAGCTGCCCATGGTGGCATGGGAAAATACGGTTGTTTTGATCCGAACGTGTGCTTTCGCGATTACGGGGACCCATGTATCCCGAAGGTTTCATTGTTTCTGTCACATCCCTGCGGAGTTGGCTGTGGGCTGGGGGTATGTGCCTACAACTACGAAGGGGCTATGCGCGTTCGAAAATGATCGAGCTTGCGGACGTTTTCGCAGCTCAGACCACCCATAATGCTCAAGATAGATCAAGAGAAGATCTTCCTCTTTGAAGTCCATTCAGTGGGTGGGACACAACGGGTGGAGTGGCCGTACGATGTCGCGCGACAGCCTCCACCTGAACGAGCACCGGACGCGAGGGTGCGGGTGATTCTTCCTCAACCGCACTGGGAATCCTATTAGAAACAACAGTGTTGATTCAGGTCATCGCATATGGGAGCCATCATCAGGATACAAGAATGCCGGGTAGCTCAACTTATAAGCCCTCTCGACGAAGCCGTGTTTCCTCTCAACCTTCGACGGTCGCCATAATCGCCGCATACCCTGCCAAACGCCATGCGCTTCACAAGCACCGCCTTCTTCCTTACGCTGGCGTTCTTCCTCGGCGAAGGTAGCCTCAGTCATTCGCGAGCGTTATTGAAGCTGACGTTTGCCATGTCGATCCAGTCGCGTCTTCTCCGGTCAGCCCTGAGGGCCGGTCTACGCCGGAGGACATACTGGGTTTGTCTCTTTCTCCACGAGCTTCTAGCACTGGCTTGAAACTGACCTGGCACCTCTCATCTCCATCTCTGATCAGGACGCGGTATCGTACCCGACAGTGCGTTCCCGTCTGGACAAATCGCGGGCAAGGCGATCCCACCCACTCGTCGCGAGAACGTCCTCGGTTTGTCGCATCAATACTTCTGTATGAATGAGCCACTTATACAGTTGTTCGACAGAGCGCGGCATTGTACCCGACTCAGCGTTTCCCGACGGTCAAATCGCAGGCAAGGCGATTCCCGCTCGTCGCGCAGACATCTTCGGTTTGTCGCTTCAGCTCGTTCTCTGAACCTTTACCCATCTTCAGCTGACTTCGAATAGAGCGCGGAATCGTACCGAACACTGCATTCCCCGACGGACAAATTGCAGGCAAGGCGATCCAACCTGTTCGTCGTGCGGAGACTTCTAGTTCGTCACTCATCAGTCCCCGACACGACTAAACGAATAACTGAATCGCTGACCAGAGTGAATAACTGACTTTTCCCGCCTCCTTTGTAGGATATCGTAAGTAAGATTGCCTGAGACTTGGACCGATACAACTCTCTGTCGGCGTCTGCGCGTCATACTTTCATTAGGCTGCCGCCTATGTACTTGTCCCGCTTTGACTATTCCATATCAAATATACCATTATGGCACCACTGATGGCACCACTGAGCGAGATGAAGTTTGGTCTTCCATGCGCGAGTAGTAGAATGTCGCGTGCAGAAGCAGTCTACACATCATGAGTCTGAGGCACTTTGAACAACTTCCTCGTCCGAGGCACCGGCCTTCATGCGAGTCATTCATCCAACTTCAGAACCCTAACTCAGACCATTGCCCTTGAGAGTATCAATAATGGCAAGCACCGGTCTGGTCGTGGTCAGAGAAAGAGACAGACGCGCGCGGCGGCACCGCGGCCGTGACGCGTGGGACGATGGCCGTCTTAACCTTTGACGTCCATCTGTTGTCTTCACCGGCCCCTCTGGGAATAACTCCCGATGTCTTGCTACAGGAGATGAGAAATCAGGAAATGCAGTACCACGTCAAAGATACAAGGTAGCAGGGGTGCTGTAGCATTGAGAAGAAGAACTCGGGTGCGTACTCCCCGCGCCGATGCTAAACCATCCACTCATGTTTCCAAGCAGCATCTGGGTCCTTGCTTATCGCGTCGGACTGCATTGAACTATACCATTCAACACGGCAAAGTACCCGGGATACACTCAGGGCTATCCACTATACGTCTCCCAATCCATCTCCCCCCAATCTCCCCCGTTCTGCGCTCACACGATTCGGCGTGCTACCTCAACTAGCTCCGCGACGATCCCTTATCTCTCGACAAAGCAATACAGTGGAGCAGCTCTCGTGGGCTGCTCGCATCTATCTACTCCAGCGCGACTATATCGGCATTGTGCTTGTTGGAGCTGCGCACCGTCACTCGTCAGTCGCATGACACTCGTAGATGATACCCTCATGCACGGTACCCTCTACCGTTTTCAAAAACTGTATGTTACATATAGAATACTGTTCGGTTTCATTTAGACTAAAGATATCCTTGCATTCACTTCAGACTTGGAAACAGTCAACTGCGATTGCTTGTACAGGTCTACTTCTGCGATGCTCATGAATTGTTTCCACCCTTCTGAAAGTACTCCTCGTCCAAGATACCCATGTGGATGACATCCTCCCAGCGCCCATGGGCAAAGCGTGCCTTTCTTTTGACACCTTCATGCACAAACCCCCTGGCCAAGAAGTCAGCGCGTTGTATGTACCACGTACACGCAGCACGGTGGACGTACACTTTCTTGTACAATGAAATTGCTCGACTATTGGACTCGTAGACAACAAGCGAGACCCGATGGGCGTCCAGGAAGTTGAAGGCGTGCTGTACGACCCAAGTGCACATCTCCGAGCCGTATCCTTTCCCCCACCGACTTCGCTTCACGAACATGCCCAGTTCGCCATCGCGCGGCTTCGCCCAGGTCAAAGCAATCCAGCCCACGAACTCGTCAGTCTCAGTGTCCGCGATCACGAGGAAGAGCGGCCAAGACTCGCTCCAGGTCTTGACTTTCGTTTTCAGGCTCTCCTCGTCGACGGGTTTGATGAAGCTAGGACTTCCGCCATCCTGAATCTCGGGGTCGTTCCAAGATTCGCACCACTCGTCAAAGTCACGGGTGCGGAAGGAACGATAAGTGAGGCGGGCGGACTGAAAGAGTGAGGGCATGGGAATAGCGGGTTGTATAGGTATGAGCGCCGTGGCGGTACTTTATGAACTGCGATCTCTCAGGACTCTCAGGCTACACTCGCTCTTGCCACACAACCAAAGAAGTCCTCTCGAAAAAGGGCTTTCATCAGAAGTCCAACCTTCTGAACCATACTCATGATCTTCCCAGCGTACTATGATACACCGACATGTAGCGGGCCGTCCAATGATCGTCGTACTTGGTGGGTGAGACACAGCGGTGCGGGATTCAGAAGCTCACAGTTCTCTCAATAGGCTATATCTCCTCTCATCACGTCGCGTATCTAGGATGTCAATCATGTTGGCTAGGAACTCAGACGCGAGGACATGGACCTCCCTTTCGAAAGAGCATCGCCAATCAAGAGAAGTTGTCGCTCCACCTCATGTGAGTATGAACCACATCCAATGTATCGTTTGCATCCGGTACACACGGAACTCACAACATCGCGAGTTTCGTTTAGACTTCGTGCAATCACGATGCACCGGTACCGGTTGTGACCACCAAGCTTCCATGCTTCGCGATTGCGATAACGGTTTACATCTATATCTGGGGAAGAAGGGCCTGTACCGATGCGAAACTCCTAATGTTGTTCCGTATCCTCGGAAGCGCCTAAAACACGTCGAAGGCTATTTTAGGCTGCTATACCCAGGACCGTGAGAGACATAGCGGGAGAAGCGTGATCTTACTATGTCCGTAGCTCTTGTACAGCGCTCATGACGGCGATTCAAGCCGCAGGAGAGCTGTGGGTCATGCTGGAACCTACACCTCTCTGAATACCCCGGAAGGCCTCATCAGTGCCTCATCGCGGTATTGTTTGAAGTAACCGAAGCAGTCATGCTTGCGTGGCGTTATGGTACCCAGGCATTCACTCAGTGCCCCATGATATGATAGGCGTCGGCGCCTAGCGAAAGACCGGACGCTTGCGGACTCCTACTTTGCTTTGCCCCGTGGCCCCCGCTCAAGGGCTTAAAGCTAGGCGTCTAGCCTACTGGTCCCTTTGGCGCGTACCGTCACCCTTCCAAAGTCAACCTTCTCGCCCATCGGAGACTTCGTATCGACACGATGTCTGCCCCCTTGACCCCCAATCCAACAATTGTCGATCTAACGGCGACATATGGCGCGCTGACGATAGGAACATACTTCTCGTTCGCGTTCTGGGGTATAAATGCCATGCAAGCGTGAGTAACCGGCTTTTGGTCTACGCAGCGGCACTGACCAGCAAACGCAGTTATCTGTACTATTTCTAGTGAGAAGTAACCGTATTTCTTCTTCTCTGAGCGCACTAACCATGTTCAGTTTCGAGAAGGATGCCTTGCTTACGAAAGTGCTCGTACGTGGTCTGCTTGTAAGCTTCAAACGCGCGTCCATTACTCAAACCTGCACCCTCCGCAGGTTACGTTTGTCATGTACGCCTGGATTTCTCCTCGTCCTGTATGCCAGATGTGCATATTGACAATGCGCTATGCCACGCTAGGCTCCTGGATACAGCGCATCTGGCATTGGTCGCCAATTCAAGTACGTCCTCCTGCACCGAACGACGTGTGGTGCTCGCTCAATCGTTGATAGACTGGCCAACGCTAATCAAGCAATGGGGCGATGTGGCGATCCTGTCTGTCTATCCTCAGTGAGTCATTTATCTATGTGATCCGATGCCCCGCCTGATTAGCGCTTGACAAGGTCGGCTTTGGTGAGTGTGTTGCCCCAAAACGATGGCCGATACCTGATAGCCTCGTCTGCTACAGCATGCAACATGGGTCGAGGTGCGGTCTGCCTAACTTTCTTTGCCTACTGGCGGTCTCATCTATGCACCAGTACATCATCATCGGCATAGTCCAGCTGTACTTCATCCGGCGTATCATCAAATGTGCGTCCCGTCGCGCGCTCTACCTCGGGAACTTGCTCTAAATGAATACCACACCCAGTTTCCCGTGCTGCTAATCAGACTAATTCAACCTGGTTTTGGTTATATTGCGCTTTCCTTGTGAGCAGTCACCTTGTAACGTATCTATGCACGGTAATCGCTGACAACCTGCCACCAGGGACTTCTTTTCCTTGCTCAACATGGTGATCTCTTGCGACACCTCTCCTTGCTTTCAATCACTAACGGTTGTCCACATTGAAAGCGTGCACGATAGGTAAGAATCCATTTCTGAGCATACATTTGATCCCGGAGGCATCTGCTCATCGACCGCCCTAGCATATTGTGCCTTGGCCATTGGAAGTCCCAAGTCTGTGGTTCAAGGCAACCTCGTCGTTGTGAGCACACACCAATAGCTATCGCGCTGCTGTTACTGAACGGCTTATCAGGGTCTGTCAATCACTCCCCTTGTCTCCGGAATCGTCATCGATCTCTCCACGACGGTGGGCATGGTTGTTTTGCTGCGCTCGCAAGCCGCTACCCTTGCACCGTTAGTCACACTTCAACATCGTAGCAGCTAGAGGTAGTACTGACCCATGGTCTCCAGGACGTCAGGGGTGATCCGTCGATTGTCTATACTGGTTGTCAACACTGGCGCACTGACCGTCGCGATCACCATTATCACTCTGATCCTCGTACGCGGCATACACTCTGAATAGGGAACTTCAGCTGACATCATTCACTATAGGATGTGTGCTTCTCATCGCAGAATAACTGGGATTGCGTGACGCTCTACCCGATGTGCTCCTTCTACATCCTGAGCTTCTTGGCCAACCTCAACGCCCGACACTACGTTCGAGGCGATGGTGGTGTCATCACGATCTCGAACGCGGAGTTCCTCGATCCATCCATCGGGTTCACCTCCGGCCAAGATTCGGTCATCACGGCTTCACGACCAACGCACGATATCAAGCTGCGCCGCATTGGACCCAGCTCCACTCGTGTCGACCAGTCCATCGGCAGTGCAAGTGTGAGCACCTCTTTTTTCGATGTACGTGTGCACAGTTCACCTGACTATGAACACAGATGGTTGTAGATAAGGATGTTCAAATCGTAGACGATGACGGCTTCGCGCTTCGCGCGGACATGGTCTTCAAGGAGGGAGATGATCATACGATTGTCTAAAGGAAGGGAACGGTTCAGTGGTACTGCAGTAGAGCCAAGCATACATGTATCCCAGCTCACCCTGGTTCTGTCGTGGTGCAGCGTTATGTGTTACATAGTGCTCTTGCTCGGCCCGTCGGATACTCCGTGAATCCCGCACTGTAGTATTGCTCATGTCAAGCAATCTGAGCTTCAAGCTCATACAGGCAATGACGTGCTTCGTATAGCAAAGAGCGATGTCAATTTGTGAGCCGGAGGCGCTGGCTGGGAGATGCTACATGGCGGAGAGCGTCAAGGTTTGTTCGAACGAACGGCGGGAATACCGGCGGCGATTGCCGGCCGTAAACTCCGACGAGGCAGACCATCACCAGAGTTTGAACTTGAACACCACCACAGTCGTCCTACAGCTCGCCTACAGTCTTTATGACCTCCGCTCAGCTTCTACCAGTCGCGAGACGCTCACAGAACCCTTCACTCGGGAAGTAATCCGCTGCAGGCGTGGACTCAACCTCAAGAAATCAGTGGTCCAGCGGCAGCATGTCATGTCGATGACCAATTCTCCCAGTGCCTTCAGCTATCTCGCCTTGCCGAACCACTAGACCTCCTCTTCTCGCCAGTTGTGCAGAAATCATGTCATATCGTATGATCAATACTCTTACTGCCGCCAGTACGCCACAGAAGAACCCTGGTTCTCTAGGGCCTAACGCCGCGCTCGACGTCGGCGATACACCTGTTCTTGTCATCGAACCCGATGAACCGGGTATTCTGGCGCTCTGGATCACGGAATGTGACCCAGCGTTGGCACCATCCCGTCGAAACATCTTGATGAGAAGACCCCGTCTGCATACAGCTCGTATATAAAGGCGTCCGAGACGCCGTGACGACTCACCTTGACCGGCATCCTGCGTACCAACCCCACACTGCAACCCCAACCCGATGGCTCAAACCCAAGAACACTCCGTTTGGCGCCTTGGCAAGATTGGTGGAGGTCCCACTGCTCTCAAGCTACACCGCGAGCCTGTACCCACTCCGGGACCTGGACAGTATCTTGTTCGCATCCACGCCGTCTCCCTCAACTATCGCGACATCTCGTATGCCAATGGGACCTACCCTGGCTCCAACCTGAAGGCTGGGCTTGTACTCTGTGCGGATATGGCGGGCGAAATTATCCGCGCTGGCGAGGTGCGCCGATCATTGGGTCTACCACTCACGGCCATCGTGTGCTCACGCTGTCACATTGCAGAACGCTACCAAATTCCAACCGGGAGACAGAGTCACGTCTCTGTTTGATCAATCATTTCTCTACGGGACAGCGGATCCTACTCGTTCTCGTACGTCTTTGACTTCACCGTCCTGCACTATCCTGAAACTGACCGCTCATGCAGAGGTCCTTGGAGGTCCTCTCGACGGGTGCTTGCAAGAGCACCGGGTCTTCAACGAGATCACACTCTTGCGCGCTCCAGACTATCTCACTGTGTGTTGGCGCCCTTCACACCATCGATCTAAGCTGACACATGTTGCAAGTACGACGAGCTCTCGACATTCCCTATCGCCGCTGTGACGGCCTGGAACGCGCTCTACGGCCTCAAACCTCTCATACCCGGCCAAACTGTACTTCTCCAGGGCACAGGCGGCACATCCATCTTCGGTCTGCTCATCGCCAAAGCTGCCGGCGCGCGCACAATCATCACATCATCCTCGGACGCGAAGCTTGAACTCGCGAAGAAGCTCGGCGCGACGCATATTATCAACTACAAGCAGACGCCGGACTGGGAGGCTAAGGTCCAGGAGCTTACGAACGGAGTCGGCGCGCATCATATTCTCGATACTGTGGGCATCAACGAGATTGAGAAGTGCTTCAACTCCGTTGCCGCTGGTGGTATCATCTCGAGCGTCGGCGTATTGGGTGGAACCGCTAAGGCCACACCGAATGTACCGCTGCTTTCAATTTTCAAGCAGGCCATCCTGCGGTACGTGCTCTCAACGAGTTCGCGATTCTGGGTGTTCTTACGCTTTTCATCCAGTGGTATCTTTGTCGGCTCAAAGGAGCAGTTCGAAGAGTTACTGCGTTTCGCGGAGTTCCACGAGATTCACCCGCATATCGATCGCGTCTTCGCGTTTGAACAGGCCGTCGAGGCGCTTCAGTACCTTGAGAGCGCTCAGCACTTTGGTAAGGTAGTGATTCGCGTAGCACCTGAGTGAGGAGACGTTACCTTGGTCTTGTCTGTTGCACCGGTAGTAACGGTATTGTTGAATAAACTGATGCAATGCATGGTATATAATGCACGCGCGCCTGCGAGCTTCCTCATGCAGCCGCCACGACTGGACTACACTTGCGCTATGAGGCCTAGTCGTGTGTCGTGTGTCGTGTGTAGGGTATGTTGAGGAAGCTATAGCTGCTGAGGAAGCTATAGCTGCTGAGGCTTAAGTTGTACGCCATGTCGAGCTCGGCGTAGAATATGAATGGCATCAGGAGGAGTACGGGAATTGCCGGCGCGATATTGCAACTCCATCGCCGCGAGCACGGCTTGTTGTCGCCGACCCTCTCCTACCAAATTGCGAAATGCCATGCTCAATGCTCTCCTGGTTGTGTATACGACGCCCGTCGCCAGCGTGACCCTGACGCGACGCAATCGACCGACGCTGTTCAAGGCCGTCGCTCTCTTCCAGCTGTTTGCAGAACGATAGGCCACCCTGTGTTCTACACACAGACGCCACCGC